ACAGCTGAATGAGAATTCAAACTTAAGTATACCTGATACAACTCCAATACTGTATGCATTACACCACACTCATACCTAGTGCTTGGGACGTGGAATGAGGCTTTCCCATGCAGCTGGGAGAATGCGATGAAATAGAAGGATCAATGACAGATGCAGAAAAATCCATGAACACAAAAGAGAACAAGAAGAGTTTGGATCTGATTTATCACTACCTGAAGGAGTCTCAAAGCGGCTAATATTCTCCTTTCCCTTCCTCCCCCACAACAAACACTCTGTGAGGTGAGTGGGGCTGAGAGACTTCATAGAAGTGTGACTAGCCCAAGGTCACCCAGCAGCTGCATGTGGAGGAGCGGAGACGCGAACCTTGTTCACCAGATTACGAGTCTACCGTTCTACACCACACTGGCTCACAGCAGCAATGATGCCTAATGCATTTTGGGCACCTCTTTATTAAGGGAAATGCTTACTGCCTCTTAATGAAAAACTGCTTAAGGCAACTACTTAGGTGAGCTGTAGTAGAAAAGAAGCATTAAACATTCTCTTTGATGAAGAGTTTCTTTGAAACACATTGAGAACTAAATCTATTGTGTAGCATGCATAACAATACAAACCCTACGCAGATCTGCTTGGAAGAAAGTCTCATTTTCAGCGACACTTCCAGGCAAATGTGTGTAGGATTGCTCCCTAAGTAATACAACTATGTGGGCAGTGCCAAGCTTGTGGGTCTTTAACATGGAACTGGCACCCCAAAAGGAAAAAATGCCATTTCTGTGCAATAGTGCACACCCACATCACTGGGTCATTTAAACGCTGACCCACAGCTTCAAGGGGTTCCCCCATAGTTGTGGACAGAATGTTTCAATGGCACCTCTGCTATCTTGTTTTGCACAACAGGTGGTTCTGAGGACACAATTTGGGTATGTTTTCAGGACACAATTTGGGTCTGTAGTCTCACACCCAACCCCCCTAAATATTACCAGAATAACATCCAGAAGGCCTAAATAAAATTCTGATGATATTTAATTTAGAATCTCTTCTTTTTAAATTTCAGATATATCTGTGGTAGAGGAAATGATGCTTCAACCACAGTTTAATTACCAGGTGGGGCTGGGTTATATGAAAGCAGTGTACATTTTAACCATATAATAATGCAACACCCTTCAGTCTTTGCCATGTTAAATAAATGTTTTAAGACGCTCCTTTGACTTCCGCCATAATGACACCTGCCGGCAAAAGAAGAGCTAACACAGTGACACCCTCAGGCAAGAGGAGGTCTGGATTGCCCTGGGATAAGCTCTGTTACTTTTTCTGCTAGCATTACATCTGGCCTGAATAAAGATAGAAACTTTGTGACGCGAAACCAAAACTTAGTGATGGTTGTTAAGGGAATGACAACAGTGCAATCAACAGACCAACTGATGTACAGGGAAGTTTGATTCAGCTGATTTTTTTTAGATGCCCTATTATGTCAGCAATCAATGCTAGCAACAAAACACTGGCACTGCCAGAGCACAGTAAATATACAGATGGCCAATAGGTTACAGACCTTTTGGAACAGCTTGAATTTAGATCCTTATACACAATAATCCCCTGGCATTACAACTGTTTTAAAGCTCTCTCTCTCTGTGTGTGTGTGTGTTAAAATAAAAAGCAAAGGGGCTTCACCCTGCCCAGCCTTCTAGAGGTCCAGGATAGGAATTCACTGTGGCTTTATGCTGAAATCAAGGTCTGATGGGAAACCATAAGATATTCTAGTTAAGGCATTTACACTTTTGTAGGGGGTAGGAAAGAGAATCATATCCAGAGATCTTGTTAGAAACCAGAAAGTATTAAATTGATTATTGTAAGCCCATCTTGTGAGGACTTTGTCCTGAAAGGTAGGGCACAAAAATGTTATAAGATGATAGATATAGATAGATAGATAGATAGATAGATAGATAGATAGATAGATAATAGATAGACGGATAGATAGATGATAGATAGATAGATGATAGAATAAATGAATTTGTTAAAGATTCAGATCCTCTACTGTTTTTCTGAGGCTGATTCACTGAACCTAGACTGAGGCTGATTTACTGAATATAGTCTGGCACTATAAAATTTCAAAGAGCTGTGGGTTCACACATTCCCTCCTCCCCTTCCACATAATCATTCTTTTCCTCATTGGCTGGTTTGAGACAAAACAGTGCTTCTCATTTCAACTGAACCAGCAATGAGAAAAATGTTCTACTACTAAAGGCCAAGAGTAGGAAGAGCCAACTTCCTTTTCATCAGTCTGTTGAGCCATAACAGAAGACAAGAGTTGCCACATAATACCAGGGCACTACTACTACTACTACTTCTTCTTCTTCTACTACTACTACTACTACTACTACTACCACCACCACCACCATTATTATTATGATCATCATATCCTGAGGAGGAATAATATCAATCTTATGACAAAACATTTTCTATTGGTGATGGCAATTCTCTTCCATGGGCCTTTATCATTTTCACATGCATTTTCACATGTACCTTGTAACCCAAGGTGGAAGGAGGTTGACCAGCTCTTATAACCCTGAAGGACCTCAGTCCCAGGCCTCTCTCTATGGCCCTTGGGACTCTTGCTAGGCCACAACCTTTTCACCAAGCTGCATCCAAGTCCTTTACAGGGCCTGTGGCACACCCTTCTCAAGTGATTTCATCTGGTTGGAATATGTTCTTAATTGTGACAAAGCATCCTTCTTCCAGAGATGAAGATTGAAGACATGTGCTTCCATAGGGGAAGGAGGTTACTCAGAGGCAGAGGAACCCGGTTCAGTCCCTGGTATCTCCAAGTAGGGTTGGAAAAGACTCCTGTCTGAAACCCTGGGCAGCCACTGACAGTCTGTGTCAACAGTCCTGAGCAAGAAGGACCAATGGTCTGACATGGTAAGGCAGCTTCCTTTGTGTTGACAGTAGATACCTCTGACTTTGGTGTCGTTGGAATGTAGCATTCCTTCTTACAAAGGTAAGAAGAGACACATGTATTGATCGAATCACGTTTGCCTCTGGCACCGACCCCAACTGGTATGTGGCAGCTTGCTCCTGTATTGCTCACCATGAGCAAATGCAGTTCACAGACTGAAAAAGATTTCCTACCCCTGTCCTATATGCACCGAACTAAGAAAATATGGCAATAAAATATTATTATTTATTGAATTTATATACCACCCTATACTGTGAGGTCTAAGGGCGGTTCACAGAATAAAATCAAAATATAAAACCACAAAATACACCATCATCATCATAAAAAACCCAATAACCTCCCACACACACAAAAAAAACCCAACCACAACATTTTAGAAGGGTATAGGAGTTACACCTATGCCCTACTAGTTACTTGGGTCCAGTATGGTAAAATTACACAATAAATATCACACTCTGAACAGTCCAACCACTTCCTTAACTCAAGATTTTATTTTCTTCCTGTGAAAGAATATTTCAGGAGCTGGGTAAATACATGTTTTTGATGCACATATCCATCATAAGGGCAACATGACTCCAGCAAAAGTATCTGCTTTCAAGGGGATTTGCATTCTCATCAAATACTGAACTGAGTCTAGACTAGCCTGAGGATAACTGCCCCCTAACCTCCCTGCGGAGACAAGGAAAGACAAGACGGAAGGAGAATAGTTTCTGACAGAAATCAAATCCTGGTTACTGCACTTCTGGGAAAACTAAAGACAAGAAGAAGAAGAAATAAAGCAGAGGGAAAGGGAATTAAATTGTTTCTTTAGAGCTCATTGAACAGAATACCTTGTCAAAGGGCTGGAAAGAGAAGACAACTTTCAAATAAACAGAAAAACAAAGACCAGCGAAAAAGTACAGTGATGTAAAATAGTACTAGGAAGACTTTTTTAAAATTAAAAAAAGGACAATCAAGAAATACGTTCTTTTAAAAGGAAAGCCGAGAAATAGAAGGAACAACATGTTTGAAAAACAAAATTATATCCCCTCAAAGGAAATAATTAGCTATCTGAATTTCCTGCTTCTTTGCAATGATGTCACACTGACAAATCTCATACACATTCAAAATTATGTTTTCACATTCCCGTAGGGTGATGTCAGCCAACTAACTCTGAAAAATACATTTTTCCATTTATTTAGGTGATGGTGATTCCTTTTCAGATATTATCAGGCTAAATGAACTCAGGGGGAATGGGGAGTGACATTGCCCTGGCAAGCCTGCTCTTCCAACAGGTGCACATGAATCATTGGAACATGTTAGAACGTACACTTGAAGGTGCTAATGCTCATGCATAGGTAGGGCGTATGCTGCCAGGATGATGCCCCCACCCCGTAATGTGTGTTCATGATGTGTACATCTGAAAAAAGAGCTGCGGCAGGATCATAAACAAATATACATCACGCTGCTGTGATGTTATGCTTTGTACCACATGCTGGTTTTCATTGGTTGCAGCTCAAAGTTAGTGGGGAGAAAGTTTCACCATGATCCCAGTTCAAATACCATGCTGTAAGGATAAATCCAACTACATTTTTAAGGGCACCTCCCATATCTAGCTTGGGAGGCTAGGCCCAAGCAGGAGAGAGGTCCAGATGCAGAGTGATAAAGTAGCCAAAGAAGAAGAGAAGGTCTGTTATTTCTAATTCAACTCCTCCGGCCTGTTCATCATGAATCAGATAAGACTGTAGAAAACTCTGGTTTGGTTCAGTCGGCGCAGTGCAGAATCGAAAAGAAACATGGAGGTAGCCCACTTCCTGTAAGTCAGAGTGAACCAGGCCATTCTGAGAGCGGATAATTTTGGGGAGGGTCATGTAAGGAAGATCAAGACACTGAGTATAAAGGCAGATCTTGAGAGGGAGATGGGGAAAGTGTGGCGATTTGCTGCTCCAGTGGATCCTGCCGCCTGAGGCAGTCGCCTCACCTTGCCTCATAGGTATGCTGGGCCTGGTAACATTTATTAAGCCATTTACTCACTGGTAAAACAGCCCTGCTGTAGATTTTTTTTTTTTTTAGGGGTTGGTTCTTACAGCTTTTTCTGTTGCGTGGGGCCCTGGACTTCTGCCCTAAATTCATACCCTGATGGAACCACTGGATCCGGACTGGGGTCAATATGTCCTTCTAAAGATTGCAGAACAGTCTGAATCACTTTCCTGTTATCTAGTTTTTACTCAGATGTCACTGGAAGATATTTAAAACATTCCCTAAAGCTTGAACATTCCAGAATATATATTCAATATCACTAAGAGGTTAACAATATAAATTTGCCACTCTAAGTGATGACAGGTAATAGAAACACTTTGAAGAAAGCAAATATTGCTACTACAAATATATATATTTATTCTGGGTTTACAGTCCTTACCCTTTCATGCTTTCAAGCTTGTGATTCCTGTGCTGGATCGTCATGTGACATTTGCCACTCAATCCTAAATATTTGCACTGGCATATCTGCCTGAAACACTGGCATAGCATCCCTGCAAGTCTGTCATATTTTATAACATGTCATGTTTTATAACTGTGCCCTGGTATAGCTGAAAGTATGCCCTCCATCCTAGGTATTTCTTTGCTGGTGCAGCAAGTCTTAGGATCAAACTGTTAATTCAATACAAGGAAATTAAGTTGAGAGATGCTAGATTCCACTTCAGGCAGCAATAAAACCTTTGCTGAAATTCTCCATGCAAATGACATATAACCTTATAGTCAAGGATTCTCCCAGAGATGTTGCTAGGAACTTCAGGGAGGGGAGGCAAGGGCCCATAGACAGAAATTTGCATATGCTGGTATAGATGTATGAATGCAAATTTAGAATGTAAATGTCACAAAAAGCAAGGCAACTGATTTCCCACCCAGATGACCTCAGATAAACTCTTCAATCAATTTGTACTCCATTCCAAATCAGTTCCTCTTCACTTCATTTGCCTCAATAAATTGCCCAACAGATCTTCCTCCAAATCAATTCAATTCCCCTTCAGTCCTCCTAACTCATTATACCCAAATAATCTCTAGACAGTCAAATTAATTTATTTATCCAAATTAATATCCCACTTGGGAAAACTTGTGACACTTAGAAAAATATTTGGGGTCCTTCATCCTTGAGCCAGCCCTCGACAATGCCCCAACTGCTTCCAAGCCAAGTGTCAACTGGATTCATTGGGGCATATACCAGAGTCCATCACAGCTCAGGTTTCATTTATTTCATTTATTCCAGTCAACCTTGAGGGGGGGGGAATACAAAGTGGGGGGGGGAGTTGTAAAATTATAGCTCTCGAAATATAATAAATTTAGGCATTCATAGCTGCAGTTTTAATATAATCTGCATAATAATGTTTCTCCTTTCCAAGATAATTTGTTTTAAAAATAGTTAATGATTGATTGATTGATTGATTGATTGATTGAATTTATATCCTGCCCTATCTCCCCAAGGAACCCAGGGTGGCAAATGGATATACAATTTTAAAAAAGAACAGAGCAGAATTCCTTCTCTCTGTCCTATTCACACTAACAGACAATGTAAAGTCAGCTGCATGTATAGTAAAATGCCACTCTTTATAATATTTACTGCTGCTTATAGCGTTAATAATTTTAATCATTTAGAATTTCTGTTCTGTTGACAGAAAACAAAACTTCATTGGATTTACTGTATTTTTATTAGATGGCAGTCCTAACTGAATCTTAATCATGTATGTCTTAAGCAACAAAAATAAGGCAGTAAGTATTCTGGACAGTAATAATAATAATGTGTGTTTTAAAACTGAAATAGTGGGGACCTTGGGTGGGTTTTTTTCTTTTTACTGTTCCAGAGTGCCTTGAAACCTCTCCTCACGTCTTTAGATGTCTGCCTTTCATTCTCGCTGACTGAAATGTCTAGACATCCAAATTAAGGACTGACCAATAATCAACTGAACAAACTGATCTCTCTGCATACAAGGTCAGCATCACACACACACACACACACACACACACACACACAACCCAAACCTACACTAAAGCTTGAGACATTTATTTGTGCACAAAAATATTGATGTTGCTAAGTGATATGCAGTCGGGTCGCTAGCAGAAAGTCTTTGTACTTGTTTGTTTATTCTGCCTCGTCTCCCCCACATAAACAATGCAACCGTGTTGCAAGGCAGCAGGAAGTGTTTTAAGGTGAACTAGACACAGCTCCCCATTTAACAATTTTGCACGCTATTATCTTATTGCACATTTCTTCCAGAATTTACTAAATGAGGGAATACATATTGAGGCTGCAATCCTATGCACACAATAGCCCACACAATAACCGAGGAGTAAGTCCCAATGAACCTCTGAGTAGACATGGATAGGACTGCACTGCATGGATATTTGAGCCTGTCTGAAGACTTGGTCATATGAGAACACATGTATTTAAAGTAGGCTGTATCCAGAGCTACAAAGCAGCTTTGGATTGATTTGGTGACGGTAAGAAAAGCACTGTTTCATTTCTTTATCTTAGAGATTCATGTAGTACCTTTTGAGTAAGTAAACAAATAAAAATAAATGCAGGATAGCTTAAGAAAGGCCAATAGAATAATAATAACACAATAAAAAAATTATCAGCAGATAGGAACATATCTCTGCATTGTTGACCCCGACTGGCAGTGGCTCTCAGATGGGTCTTTCTCAAATACAAGGGTCTACCCTACCTGAAATACAAAAGCCTTAAAACAAGATGGGGAACCTTTCTCAGCCTGAGGGCTGCATTAGCTTTGGGGCAAGCTTCAAACAGCCACATGTCAGTAGTGGGTAGGCCCAGAGCAACAAATGTGATATGTACCTTCTAGATGAACCCCCCTCTGCATATGAGCAAGGAAAAAGCATCAACAGAGTTCATGTCCACATTCCAGCCAGGCATGTAATGCAGGGCTGGTGAAGGATGCAGCCTGAGGAGAGAGGCTATGGCCTGGGGAGAGTCCTGAAGGCCAGATATAAAGCCCCAGGGAGATTTATTGGAGTCCTCAGGCCCATCTCTACATTAAAATATTTGAAAAGATATTAGCATCAGATACAAAAAGGCCCGATCAAATTGAAAGGTTCAGAAATGGACTGTCAGTCAGCTTTAGCCTTGAATTTTGAATACAGGGGCACTGATCTGTTGTATAGGGTTCTTGTAGGTACAAAGCAAAGCACAAGAGATTCAACAAGGGCATCTCTTCTAGCACCGAAATGTAGCATTGGGGAAAAGTTGCACCTGGCTCTCAAGCTTTAGGAAGATACAGAGACAACCTTAATCCCAACACTGTACCCCTATGCAGCCAAAGCCAGAGGGCCCGATTCTGAACCCCCTAGGTACTTTGCCCATGAACCACACTCCATCAAGCATCATGTTGCAAAGAGTGTGCAAAGAGCAGTGAAATCAAGAAGCGCCCACATAGTCACATCCCGTCCTTTCCATTCTAATCTGTTGTGGTCCAGAGAGTATTTTATACTTCATGCTTGTCACTCACAGCAGCACCATTCCACATTTCCTGACATCTAGGAACATGACAGCTGCTTTCTTGTCTAGTGATGAGTTAGTTTCAAGTTAACAAAAATCAGTGTCATTTATTTATTTTGACTGGGACGGGTCCCCAAGGTGGTTCACAATACTGTAATTTATATCTAAAACATTAACTTCAAAATTAAGGCATTTCATATAAGCAAAAAACAATTTTATTACAGATACAGGCAAAAGGAATGATATAGTCCCTGGCTGACTCAGACAAAGCCAAATAGAAACTATAAAAGGAGATTGCCGATATTCATGTATCAAGTCAGCTCCTTTATAACGATATCCATCAACATCTGTATGCACAATCCTGCTGCATGGTGAACCCCTTCTTAATGGTGAATTGGAAGCCTACCTTTCAGCAAGCTCCTTGTGAATATTGGATGCTGAGATTGCAGCAATTATGTTTACACAATCTATACTGTGTAAAATTTACAGATCTACAAAGAGTATGAACAATGGGGATTGGAGATGGAGGGGAAATCCACACTGAATAAATTAGCTGACCCATCATTAAAAATTATGAATACCACCAGAATAAATATGAAGTGTGCATTTTCCAAAGGCTACAGGTCAATCAGAATTAATACATCATTTAGGTAAACAGATGGTAAGATAAAGCAACACTTAAACACAAAGGATTTTACAGAGGGTTTACCTAGCATTTTTGTTTGATCTATATGTTCTATACATCATCAACAGAAACCCACAGTATTCATAATTTCTTTGTGATGTCAGGACTTGACTACAAGAATTCTCAATAAAACAGAAATTGTATGTCAAAGGTGACATAATAATTGGACAGATTTGTGTCTCCTATTTTTTCTTCGCATCACTCTTCTGTGGTTCCATAATCTCATGCCGAATCTCCCCCCTCTCCACCCAATGGCACAATACAACAACACCTGCTAGACAGTGAGACTTCAAGGCCTACAAATATGGCCCCTTTTGAATGGGAAAAGCTAAGTTTTAGTCCATTTATTAACCCATCCTACCCTAAGCACTTGAAATTTTTGAAACAAAATACATCCACAGTTCCATATGTTACCAAGCCAACTCAATGCGTTATAAAGTCTTAAATGGCTTGGAATCCAGATACTTGAAGGCGTGCCTTTCCCAATAGCAACCAGTCCATGTATTAAAATCTGTAGGGGAGGATCTCTGTGCAGTCCTGTCAACAGGTGAAACTCACTGAAATAGTAAGCAGTATATAAAAGGCTTTCAAATAAATAAATAAATGTGTGGTGATAAGAGACTTCCTGGTGGTGGTGTCCTTGGCTGTGGAACAGTTTCCTTTATGAGATACAATTTGTGTCACTGATGTTTGGCCTCTGAAACCAACTAAACATTTTTTTGTTCACTTAGACTTTTGCTGGGAGCTGATCTGATGTTGCTTGTAAACTGTTTTGAATCTGCTGTGTTCTCTGTGTTCTTATTAGCTTAATTTTCTTACGGTGTTTTACTATTTTGTAACCTGTCCTAAGATCATGAAAGGAAGACAGGCAGCATATAAATGCAAACACTAAACAAACACAGCATGGTAACCTACTAGGGTCAACCCTTTTTTGTCTAGCAAGGGGGGCGGGGGAAGCCACAATAAGGTAAGAAATGCAGCATTCATTTCCTAGAAAGCAATTCCAGAAAACAGTTTTATTAAAAGCAGTGGCGTAGCGTGGGTTGTCAGCACCCGGGGCAAGGCAAGTAATTTGCGCCCCCTAACCCGTGGATTTGCGCCCCCTAACCCTAACCCCCAGATGTTGCGGCCGGTGCGGCCGGCCCCCCCTGCACCCCCCACGCTACGCCACTGATTAAAAGGAATAAAAGATAGTGCAGTGTGTGTCAAAAGTTATAATAGTACAACAGTGGCAAGATATCCGACAATCTGGTTTTTTTAAAATCTAACAATTGGAAGACTGTTGACATTTGTAGCTCAGATCTAAACATTTGTGTCACCATATTGTTGCACAATACTGCTATAGCATTCCAACAAGGCTGGTTTAATTTAATGCAATAACCATGTGCTGTGTCTGGTTGTGTTAACAGAGAGCCCCTAGAGACAAGCTTCTGCTCATAAGTAGGGGCTCCACTGATGATGATGATGACTCCAGTTATTCAGTTGTCCCAACTGCACAGAGCACGTCCTCATGAGCAGCAGCACACACAATGGACTTTCCACTCACACCACACATTTGTTACTGAAGGCAAAAGGTGGGACATTGGGGTCAGGGTGAATGGGGTAATATTCTAGTGAATTCCATCTAGCTTTAAGTAGAGCTTTGCCAATACGTGGGGCTAGAATTAAGTCCAAATGAGCCATGCAGGAAGGAAACATGACAAAAACGACTAAGTTCTACAAATAAGTGTATATCTCCAAATCTAATGAGAACTAATCACTGTAACCAGCAGCACCCCGTCAGAATATTCCCACCTCATTACAAGCTGATCATGTATTTATTTATAACTTTGTGTCTCAGAAGGAGTTCTAATTTTATTTTATAGAGCTCCTGCAGTAAAGTAAACACATTCTTGATGTAGATTTTTACACCTAACTTTATACCATATGGGCATTTTGTAATATGGTAGCTTTAAAAAAAAAAAAAAAGTCCACTAAACCGAAGGTAATTGGTGCAGTCAAATTATTTAGAATATTTGAGAAACTTTATTCCTATGATCATTTTCCAAAAGGAAGAAATGAAAATAAGCCAGCTCAGAACTCGTGTCACATTTCATTCCTACAAAATAGAAAAAAATAAGAACTCCCAAAACATTAAATCCTGATCAAGCAATGTTTACAAGGTGCTACAGAAATTTAAAGGACTAGTATTAATTGTTAAGTTCCAACCAGCAACCCTATTCACTCATTGGCTGACTATTGTCTCAGCAACCCCACTCTCTATTTGGGACTTTACAAACAATTAGTAGGAAGTTCAAATAGTTACCTTATTCATTTACCTTTAAGTATAATTTATTCTTGTACTGTTCTGTCTCACTTAAAATCTGCTCCCCGGCAATTATCATCTGCTGCCCTTGTCTGAATCTTTCTTTCTGCTCCACTTCAGCCTTTAGTTTCGACATCTCTAAAACATGTATTCCTGAGCATTGACTTGAAGTGTCATTTAACGTTAAATTTACCTCCTTATTCCACATGTCCTATAAAAAATATAGCAAAACTGTATAAAATAGTAATGGTGATTCTATCTTCTTTCCTTCTGGGAAATACATACTAAGGGGACGACGACTGTAATTTGCATGTTTGTCTAATCCATAAAGTTTAGACACGTGGGATTATAAGGATTCAAGCAAGGGTCAAACGTGCAAAAATGTATCCTGTGGGGTGATGCAAAAATTTGCCTCTGAGACCCTGTCTCTACTCTAATGAGGAACAAGCTCTTGTTGGTCCACAAGAGCTGGGCCAGAAACTAACAAGTTGACCAAAGCAGAATACTCTACAGCATTCATAACTCTTTATTCTTTCAATCGGAAAAGCTCTAATATCATTTCTCACTATTCTCCTCCAAGTACTTTGTGAATGCACTCCACTTCCAGACAAATGTCCCAAGAGTTATAAATGCTGTGGGGGACTCAATTTACAAATGGAACACACTCAACAGGAAGCAAAATATGTACTGCTTCCAAGGCAAAGTTCACAAACCAAAACACCTACTTCCGGGTTTGCAGCGTTCTTAATCCAAGTTGTTCATAAACTAAGCTGTTCCTAAACCAAGGTATCACTGTAGCTACATTTCTACCGGTAGGATGGGGGGGGGCATGGGTGTAGCCAGGATTTTTATTGGGGAGGGGCAGAACCTCAGATTTGTATTGATTTGTATTTTTACTTATTGGGGGGAGCTGCCACCCTTCCTATGCTCATGGGGGGGGGCCACAGGAAGGAAACAAGGTCAGAAAGGATCTACAGTTGGAAAAAGGTTGGAAAACACTGCTCTATACCTTGCTACCGAAGCATAATCCCATATGTAACTAATGGCAGAAAAATGTCCTTGTGTATGCTTGCCTTAATCTAATAGAAATCAATGGCAAGACTCCCATTTATTTTAATGGATCAGCATTACAGCCCATGACATAGTGCTATGAGCACTATGGAAACTTTATATATCCATAAAATGTTATTACCTATTGAATGTGGTGTGCTTAGGAAATAACTTTCATTTTAATACATATCCTACTTTTATATATGTCCCACTAAAAGCGCAAAATTAAAAGAAAATATATATGAAAACGAGCTGTAGCGCAGTGGCAAAGCACATGGTTTGCCTGCAGAAGGTTTCACATTCCATCTCCAGCATCTGCAGGTAGGGCTGGGAAAGACTCTCTCTGAATCTCTGGAGAGCTGGCTGTCAATCAATGTAGATAACACTGAGTTAGATGGATCAATGACATGACTCTGTACAAAGCAGGCTCCTATTTTTCTAAGTGATAAATAAGTTCCTATAGGTTTGCACATTTTAAATATCATATTCATTTGCACAAGGCACAGAGAGAGTTAATCTAGGGAAGAATATTAAATAAAGTATTACCAAGGCAATGCTGTCAAAAAATAGTCTTGTCTTCTTTCAGAAAATTAAGTTGTCAATTCACTGGCAGTCAAATTTTGGAAGATGTAAAGAAACAGCTCACATTTTTACCTAAGTTCTTCTACGATTTTTACACTGGCCTAAAAATAAAATTGTTTGATAGGTAGAGACACACTAGGGGAGAATGCCTGGAGCTGTCTGGGATTTTTTGGAAACGGACAATATTGTGTTTTTTAAATGGATAGTGTGATTTCTGCATTTGGACTCACTGTGTACAAAATCAGGTGAAGTCACACCAAAGTGGTGTTTTAATCTGCCATCTTTATTCAAAATGGCGTCCAGCATCTAAAACATTGACAGAGCATGCCACCCCCACCTCGGGAATCCTGATGCCAAGTTTGGCAATGATATCTCAAGAGGCATCCAATCATGTAGAGAATAAACAAACAAATGGGCAGACAAACCACTTCCCAAAATATATAGTCAATTAGACTAAAAGTTACACACTGAATTCATTATGTAGTTCACAAAATACGCCACCTACTTCTCCAAGCAACTTACATTGAAAACATAACTACAGAACAAAACACACCCTTAAGAGCCATAGAAAGCAGAGCAGCACACTAATAACACTACCATCTCAGTCTATCAAATGCCTGGTGGAAATAATAAGTATTTAGCTGGTACCCAAAGGACGTCAATGAAGACTAGGAGAGCAGTCAACAGAGAGGGAGCCACAACTGAAAAGGGTGCCATTGTCAGCACCCTCTGAGCATTTTTTCAGACAGAAGACATGGGAAAGGAGGATCTAAGGATCCAAACAGGCTCATATTGGGAGAGGCATTCCAGAAGATAGTGGGCTCCTGAGTCTTAGTGAGCTTTATAGGTCAAAACCAGCATAAAGCCTTGTTTATCATAGTTGCATCCTGAACCAATAAAACATTCTGTACTAACTGATTCAAAGAAATATGTGTGTTGTAGAACACTTGAAGAAATCCTTTAAGTGTAAGGGAGAAGCCTGTTCTGCTCCAGGAACTGAGAGAGATTTCCTGTTGGGAAGAGACATGCTTAAGGCAGAGAATGCTTCTGGGTGTTAAAGTAAATTGAGGATGTATCAGAGCAGCAGTGTCAGGGAGGCAATTATTTGTGTCCTCCAAGATGGTGTTTGGGATTCACAATGGAATCTGACAGACTTAGGCCACAGTACCAAGTTAGCCACAGACCAGCAGCTACTCCACACAGACTAACAATATGTGCCTTTAGCTATATAGCCATATGGAGATTTTGATATAAGATCCCTAAATTTAGGATCCTTGACTACTACAGTGAAATCCTAAAATAGTTCTACAATACACTCGTACCTTGGTTTTCAGACAGTTTAGTTCTCAAACATTTTGGTTCCCGAACGCCGTAAACTCGAAAGTGACTGTTCCGGTTTGCGAACTATTTTTGGAAGCCAAACGTCTGACGGGGCTTCCACAGCTTCTGACTGGCTGCAGGAGCTTCCTGCAGCCAATCAGAAGTGGCGCTTTGGTTTCCGAACATTTTGAAAGTCAAACAGACTTCCGGAACAGATTCCATTCGACTTCCCCAAGGTACGACTGTAGTAACTCTACTGCACCTGAGGAGACTGAAGGAAGAAGGGTTGCTTTGTTCTGTTCTTTGTATTAAGGGATACTCCCTATGGACAATGGTGTACCATCAGTTCACAAGATGGGATAAATGATACAAGCCAATATTTACTGTGTCTTTCACAAGTACACTGTTGCCTTGCTAGGCTCACAATCACATACACATAACTGGGGCATACCTGAAAGCTGGAATACTGAATGAAACAAAAGGAGTGAACCTTCCACCTATACTATCTATGAGTGGACTATATTTCTCAACCAGAAGCTGATAGCCTGTAATGCATTTCTGGTGGTTGATCCATTGTCCTTGAATCCTGGCTCCTAGGCATGCCAGGACTTAGCCGCATTTTGCTGCCAAAGTTGAAAAACACATCCCCCTCCAATTCCATGCACAGAAGTGAACCACAATGGTAGCTGAATCCTATTTCAGCAACAGAAGTCCATTGCACTTGAGGGCAGGAGTCAAGTTTGGCAAATGTACGGCACAGCATGTGCCACATACAGCACTATCCTTCAGCATCTTGCTGTCACTTCCTGCCCCCCAATATCTGCTGGCTGAGGCAGTTCTCTCACTAATGGTAGAGGCGGCCCTGCCTATGAGGAGAGGCACTGGCCAGGTGGACAAAGATATGCTACCACTGGACTGTGCAGAATGGGAAACTGAACTTTGTAATACGTAATATGTGAGTGAGTAAAGTCCTAGCCATGCCTACTATATGCCAGCCTAAATACTGGAAAAGAAGCTTCGCAATTGCATTATGTTGCCAACTCCAGGCTTGTTTCTGCTGAAAGAGTTGTGACAATGAGGATTTTGAAAAGCTAACAACAGATGCAAAATTGCCAACAAGAAGATTAGTTAGGCAAGAACTGATGGCTTTCCTGGAGAATCTATGGAGGTAAGAAAAACATGCCGTGGAACTGGCAGGATACTGTTAGATTTGTTTTTGCTAACTAATGAACTAAAATGGAGAAAGGGTTGCATCAGAATTACATTTACTGAAGCTATTCAATATGGTCCCCAATGAGGACAGAGAAATATTGAAGAGCCCTAAAGACATTATCAATAAAAGTCAGACTGCATAATGAGGTTTGCTGCTGCTATTTCATCTTAGTCTGATTTTATTTTCAAAGGATCTGATACGGTTCTTATACCCTGAAAATAGCACTCTTCTGATATCTCTGAAATTTCACTTAATACAACTACAGATATTTCAAGGGAGATAGTTACACACTCATAATGCATTTACTTTCCAAATAAATAAATAAATGACAACAATTCATGAAGCAAAAGAGACCCTCAACTAAAATTAAGAGAGAAAAATGATTTGCACTATTTATGCATTTATAAATGTCAAAATCAGCTCTCATAAAACTTGGCGAAAACACAATAATACATTATTTATTTATTTAAATATTAATTTATTTATTGTGCTTTTCATAAAAATACAACAATGTAATATGCAATATACAAAATCAGAATAAGATCAATAAAGACAATATACATGCTGTGAGGCTAATTTGAACTCAGCTGCAGATTCCTCTTGCACTTTCAGGAGTTAAAATTTCACAGTAATAGTTCTTGTGGGCAGTTTGGGGTATGTGTGTATATAAATCAGGTGGAGAGAAGGCCTACAAGTTCATCAGTAATGTATACAAGGCCATTCTACAAGTCAACAATCCATCTGTGTCACAGAGAGTGGAAAGGAACATTGTTCCTCTGGATTCCTAATGTAATAA